CTTGTCTGAGAGTATCTGAGGGGACTGGCTGTGACTCCGGGGTCAGACGGGGGCAGCGATCCAGGAGTTCACACTGGGTGAAATCTGCTCACAGAGCACCACCGGCTGGGGGGATCTGCCCTGTTTCCTGACACCTTCCCTGAGCCTGGCACTCCCAGTGGAGCCGCCCCAGAGAAGAGGACGAACTGAGCCCTGCAAAATCAACCTAGAAGGACATTTCTCCCCTCCAGGGCTTTCCCGCCCACCTGGACAGCTGGGTGAGCCACGGCCTCTCCTTCCCACAGCCCTCCTTCCCCAGGGGAGCTCAGCCAGCAGGTGTCTTTCCCCCCGGCCACGGGCCTTGCCTTGGGGGAGGGGATCTAGGCAGGACTCCTGGGTTCCATTCCCTGGCCCTGCAGTGGGCTTGGGAGCCAGGAATCCTGGGCTCTACCCCTGGCTTTCAGAAGGGAGTATGGTCTGGTGGGTTACAGGGTGGGGTACTGGGAGTCAGGACTCCCGCGTTCTCTTCCTGCCAGCATCACTTGTGCACAGATAGGGGCGGTGTGGGGCCTGGTACGGGGCAGTCAGGGGACAAGGAGCTAGGGGGTGCTTTCCGGACAACCCACTTTATTCAGCCAATGCACAAAAGGAACCCGCAATCCCCCCAAAGAGAAGCAGCAGCCAGTGGCTGCTGAAGGGAGGTGCACTGCAGCCCAGCACGCAGCAGAAGGGGAGGATGCCAGGCCGGGGCTCAGGGCTCCCCGATGCTTCCACTGGCCCAGGGAGCTGGGTAGCAGTTGGTCCGGCTCAGCATCTCCACCAGGCCCTGGGCGTATTTCTTCACCAACAATCTCTTCATGCAGGCGCCAGGGGAGCCACATCCAGCCGCACTCTTCATCAGCTTGATGTCACCTGGATGCCGGGAGAGAGATGTAATCAGGGGCTCCCAGTCCCCCCCCGACCCCAATGAGGTCTCTCACACACTCCCTTCCCAGGAGGACTGCACCCGGCTCTGCAGGCAGAGTGGGGTCTAGTGCTCAGACCAGGGGGCTGGAACAATGTGAGAACATAACAGAGGAACGGCCCTCCTGGGTCATCCCAAAGGTCCATCTAGCCCAGTATCCTCTGGCCAATGCCAGGTGCCCCAGAGGGAATGAACAGAACAGGGAACCTTCCACTGATCCCTCCCCTGTCGCCCATTCCCAGCTCCTGGCAAACAGAGGCTAGGGCCGCCTTCCCTGCCCATCCTGGCGATAGCCACAGATGGACCTGTACTCCAGGAACTTCTCTCGTTCCTCTTTGAACCCTGTTATAGTCTTGGCCTTCAAAACATCCTCCGGCAATGAGTTCCACAGGTTGACTGTGCGTTGTGTGAAGCAGTACTTCCTTTTGTTTGTTTTAATCCTGCTGCCTGTGGTGACCCCTCCTTCTTATGTTAGATGGAGTAAATAACACTTCCTTATTTCCTTCCTCCACACCCTTCAACCTTCTCTAGACTTCAATCATATCCCCTCTTAGCCATCTCTTTTCCAGGCTGAAAAGTCCCACTCTTATTCATCTCTCCTCATATGGCAGCCGTTCCAACCCCCTCATCATTTTGTTTGGGCTTTTCTGAAGCTTTTCCAATGCCGATATCTCTTTTCTGAGAGTGGGCGACCACATCCGCCTGCAGTGTTCAAGCTGCGGGCTTCCCGTGCATTTATATTGAGGCAACACAATCTATTCTGTCCCATTCTCTGTCCCTTTCTTAATATTTCCCAGCATTCTGTTCCCTTTTTCACGGCCGCTGCACATGGAGTCATTTCAGAGAACTCTCCACAATGACTCCAAGATCTTTCTTGAGTGGTAAATTCGACCCATTATTGTGTATGTCTACTTGGGATTACGTTTGCCCATGTGCATTACTTCACATTTATCAACATTGAATTTCATCTGCCGTTTTGTTGCCCAGTCACCCAGTTCTGAGATACCCTTTAGTACCTCTTCACAGTCTGCTTTGGACTTTACTATCTTGAGTAGCTTTGTATCTTCTGCAAATTTTGCCACCTCACTATTTACCCTTTTTTCCAGAACATTTCGGAATATGGTGAATAGCACTGGGCCCAGTGCAGATCCCTGGGGGACTCCCACTATTTACCGCTCTCCGTTCTGAAAACTGACCATTTCTTCCTACCCTTTTTTCTCTATCTTTTTAACCATTTACTGAGCCATGAGAGGATTTTATCCCATGACAGCTCACTTTGCTTAAGAGCCTTTGGTGAGGGACCTTTTCAAAGGCTTTCTGAAAATCTAAGTACCCTATAGCCACTGGATCCCCCTTGTCCACACGCTTCTTGACCCCCCTCAGAGAATTCTAGTATACTGGTGAGGCGTGATTTTCCTTTACCAAAACCATGTTGACCCTTCCCCCAACAAATTATGTTCATCTGTGTGTCTGACAGTTCTCTTCTTTCCTATAGTTTCAATGATTTTACCCTGTACTGAAGTCAAACTTACTAGTCTGTAGTTGCCTGGACCACCTCTGGAGCCCTTTTTAGAAATTGGCATGTCATTAGCCATCCTCCAGCCATTTGGGACAGAAGCTGATTTAAATGGTAGGTTACAAACCACAGTTAGTCATTCTGTAATTTGAAATTTGAGTTCCTTCAGAACTCTTGGGCGAATCCCATCTGGTCCTGGTGACTTGTTACTGTTTAATTTATCAATTTGTTGCAAAACTCCTGTAATGACACCTCAATCTGGGACAGTTCCTCAGATTTGTCATGAAAACAGAATGGCTCAGGTTTGGGAATCTCCTCCCAGCCTCAGCCGTGAAGACCGGTGCACAGAATTCATTTAGTTTCTCCGCAGTGGCCTTATCCTCCTTGAGTGCTCCTTTGGCATCTCAGCAAGTAGGACTCCAGGGTTCTCTCTGCAAATCTGCCAGGGGAGTGGAGTCTAGTGGGTCAGAGCCAGGAGGGCTGGGACTGAGCCAGGACACCTGGTCTCCACCTCGTATTCTGTGTTCAGACCCCGCCCCCATCAGGAGGACTTACCTAGTGTTAACACCCCATAATCCTCAATACAATGCTCCTCGGCGCCGGTGCAGGCCAAGAGCACCTTCTCCTTCTCCTTCTCCCTCTTCTTCTCCTTCTCATTCTCGTGATATGGCTACACGTTGAAGAACGACAGGCACTGCCAGCCGTTGGGGACGGAGCTCACAGTTGGCACTGAGAACAGTCAGACACACACAGTCAGCCAGGGGTGGGGAGTCACCACACGCTGGGCTCAATCCCAGCTCGGGGAGGGGAGTGGGGTCTAGGAGTTAGAGGTGGGGGGTGAGGCTGGGAGCCAGGACTCCTGGGTTCTCTCCAGGCAGGTGTGGCCGGAGCAGGGCTCTAGGTTTGCAGCAGACAC